CTCGGGTGGCAGGAACTCCTCTGGCGCCCCGAATAGCACCCTGAGTGAGTCTCAGGGCAGCGCCATCCTCATCTCATTCATCTACTCCGTGGTGTGCCTGGTCGGGCTGTGCGGCAACTCCATGGTCATCTATGTGATCCTACGCTATGCCAAGATGAAGACGGCCACCAATATCTACATCCTCAACCTGGCCATCGCAGACGAGCTGCTGATGCTCAGCGTCCCCTTTCTGGTCACTTCTACCCTGCTGCACCACTGGCCCTTTGGCTCTCTGCTCTGCCGCCTGGTGCTCAGTGTGGATGCTATCAACATGTTCACCAGCATCTACTGCCTGACTGTGCTCAGTGTGGACCGCTACATTGCTGTGGTGCACCCCATCAAGGCGGCCAGGTACCGCCGTCCCACTGTGGCTAAAATGGTCAATCTGGGTGTCTGGGTGCTTTCCATCCTGATCATCTTGCCCATCATCATCTTCTCCAACACAGCAGCCAACAGTGATGGAACAGTGGCTTGCAACATGCTCATGCCAGAGCCCACTCAGAGGTGGCTGGTGGTCTTTGTGGTCTACACTTTTCTGATGGGTTTCTTGCTACCTGTGGTGGCCATCTGCCTCTGCTACATCCTCATCATTGCCAAGATGCGTATGGTAGCCCTGAAGGCTGGCTGGCAGCAGCGCAAACGCTCTGAGCGCAAGATCACCCTCATGGTCATGATGGTGGTGATGGTCTTTGTCATCTGCTGGATGCCCTTCTACATCGTGCAGCTGGTCAATGTCTTTGTCGAGCAGGATGATGCCACCATCAGTCAGCTCTCTGTCATCCTTGGCTATGCCAACAGCTGTGCCAACCCCATCCTCTATGGCTTTCTCTCGGACAACTTCAAGCGGTCTTTCCAGCGGCTGCTCTGCCTCAGTTGGATGGACAATGCTGCAGAGGAACCCATCGACTACTATGCCACTGCCCTCAAAAGCAGAGCATACAGCGTGGAGGACTTTCCCCCAGACAACTTGGAGTCAGGGAGCATGTACAGGAATGGCACTTGCACCTCCAGGATTACCACCCTCTGAGGAAGCATTCCCTGCCCGCAGCAGGAGGGTGAGCAAGTCCAGGGCTGTGGCATGGGAGGGCCGGGAGGGAGGGGGGGTTTGTCCTGCCCACCAACAGAGGTGTTTGGCACAAGAAGAAGTGAAGAAAACCCCACATCCTAGGTCTGCTGCCCCATCCCCCCCTCACCTGCTTCCCTTGAGAGTGGGTGCTTTCGCTGATGCTTTGACACCCACTTAACAAATTGCCACACCCATGGGTCGATTTAGGGTCTGGGCAGCCAAGCTCTGCTACCCCTCTCTGTCTGATGAGCGGCTGTACAGGTCCTACAGTGACTCTCCCTCACCTTTTGTATAGGTTGCCTTCCCCCTCGGTCAGTGGGACCCCCCAGGCCACTGAGTCAAGCCTGCCTTAGTCGAGCCCCACCATTCAGGCTCAGACTCCCCTTGACTGAAAGTGACCCTTCTCAGCATGTCAGTATGCATCTCCCCATCAGAGAGTAGAAATGCTGGGAAAAGTCCCCCCAACACACCTTGCCCTCCTCCAGGAAGGAGCAAGTAGCCTCTCTCTGTCCCACCCTCCCCCCAGGAATAACAAAGAAAGTAGGGAGCAAAAAGGCCCTGACAAAAGAAGTGGCATAGTCATGGAGCTGTCTTCTGCTTTGCAGACAGCTTACACCTCACTGGGGCTCTGGCTTTCTGTGCTATGTTCAGAGGAAGCAGAGCAGAAAAGGTATTTGGAAAAAAAAATCTGATTATTGCTGTGCTTCAGAGCTGCGCAGCAGGTTGCTGATAGCGGGAGATAAACAGTCCTGTGACTCACAGGGAGTGGAGCACTGAGCTGGGAGTTGGGGGAGCACTAAGCTGGGAAATGTTTGAGTGTGTCAATATATACGATAAAGTCTGCTAATAATAAAGTTTAAAGGGAGCGCTAAACTGTGAAGCTACTGTCTTGCACCTGCTCCATCAGTTGAGAAACAGCGATGAAGGGAGCTGAGATGGTTTTGAATGGCCTGGGTGGCCGCAGTCCCTCTAGCCTACATGGAAAAAAAAGGATTAATTTCAAAATCTCCATCAGGCTCTGAAATAAATACTTGACAAAAAAGTAGCTGTTTGAGAATAGCTGTTACCCTAGCTCCGGTTTCTTCTGTTGCACTAAAAAACATATAATGGGTTTCATATGTTGCCAATGTAATATACTGGCCTGGAGCTTCTTAATGTTTCATTTCTGAGAATTCCTGGGTTTAGTGTGTGCCAGATGTCTTTTTGTTTGATTTTTTTTTTGTTTGATTCTTGTCACTGTGTTGTGAATGTGTTTCTCTGAAGCAATCTGTACTGTGTACTTATGTCTGTGGTGGCTACTTGCAAGGTTGCATTTAAAATGGGTGATGCTCAAAAAGGCTCCTCTTCAGATAAAAAGGTTGTCACTTTTTCTAACCCTTTCATCTACATTGTCTCCACCACAAAAATTCTCTCTTGAATTTTCTCTCTTCCCTTCTTATGACAGAACAATTTTCATATAGATGAAGGAAGCTTTCTTGTTTGATAAATGACAGCTAATTAAACAATCCCTTCTATCCCCACTCCCTCTTATCCCAGGCTTTAGAATCGGTATAGACCGTGTTGAAATAATATGTTTTTTGCTTTCTACCATCTAAGTGTCACACAGTGACAGGTGTCCTGGTAGCTGTGATAAATCACTTCTCTAGCACAATACTGTAGTTGTATTCATTATAACTACTGGCAATATGAAGCAAGATATTGGGAAAAATCTCTAGTAGCAGCACACCCATAGCATTGTACTGGTAGCTACAGTGCTTAAGTACAGTGTTAAGTGTAAGGTCAACAATTAAAGCATTTAGCATTTGCAGTGGTGGACTTACTACAGGTTTTTGTTAAATTACACTGTTTAACTTCTCTCAGCAGCAAAAAGCAGGATACTACTTTGTACATTTCTTTCACCAAAAATTAGGTACTGATAAATGAATGTATAAATTTAGTATTTCAAAGTTGTCTGATTCAAGGCCATCGAAATGAGAGAAAAAAGTCCTAATTCACTTCTATGGACTGTGAGTCAGCTCCTTTTAGTTTAAAAATTGCTAATGTGGAAGCTGTTACATCCTTATTAAAATATTTTGTGAAAAGTTTTTACAATTGTACAGTTTCTTTTCTTTTACTTCCCAGTGGACCTCATTGAAAGAAAATATACAAATACTAATTTTGGTAATGGTTTACATGCACATGTGGGAGAAAAAAAGGATGAAATATCTTTATAAGCTTATTTAACTTTTCACAGAAACCAAACATCTGTGAAAACAGTAAAATGGGCCAAAATTCCACACCGTGCTATTTGTAGAGCTTCACTTAAAATCTCGCTCACAATCTCTTCAAAATGGTATAAATCTCATAATGTTATGTGGTCTTTTTCACGCAGGCATGTTGTTATGTATGGTCAGATTAAATGGAGAGTCAGCCAACTTTCTACTGTTGGATTTGTTTAACATCTGACATGATGAAGCAAAAGTTAGAAAGCAGTGACTGATACCTGATACTCAGCTCTGATGGCGAGTTGAGCCTGGTTTTGTTTATTTTTATTTTATTTTACTTTGCCTTTAAACAAAGCTGTGGTGGACGCCTGCACACCTGCCTATGCACTTTAATTCTTTTTCAGTTGTTTCAGGCAGATGGCCATGGTGATGTTCAGCGAGGGTCGGGCAGGCGAGGGCTGCCGCGGGGCCGGTGGTACCTCGGTAGATGGCAGGCTTGCCCTCCGCTGGGTACACTGATCCACTCCCAGCCAGCAGTGCCCCTGATACTAGCGGTTAAAACACCGTGTGTCGCTTCAGCTGGAAACAAAATCTTTTTATCCTAAACTAGCAGTTCTTCCTGCTGTTTTTCACCCTGAGTTTAGTTTGACTGTGGCAGTGGGAGAGTTGTTCAACAGCTGCAAATCACTCTTAATTTGTTCTGGAAGAAAAAGTGAGTTCATTCTGTGTTATTATTCGACATAACAGAACATAACTACCAGAAAGAAGAAAAAAAAGAAATAAAAATTGTCCTCATGAAATAACATGTACCAGAAACCAAACTTCACTCTTTTCAGTGCTTTCCAAATTGCAAATAAGAGTCTTCAGATTTCATACGGAAATTATCTGAAATAATGCTTAATTCACTAAAAAATTACTCAGCAGTGTAGTAGCTTTGAACAGTATCTAGTCAATGGACTGGACTATTTCCTGTGGTACGCACAAGAAAGAATGTTCTTCACGTGGAACATACATCAGGTACCTCTTCAGATTTTCCCATGCAAGGGAGGGTACACAGGAAATTACTCGCCTTTCTCACTGGGCTTCCCAGCACAGTAGCAAAGACACATCTCATAATCCTGGGGCTGACTGCTATGTGCAGCTAGTGCACATGAACCAGGCTGGTTCTAGAGGCACTTTATATCTGGCCTGGGGATGAAAAAGGTAAGGCCACATGCAGATCCTCTGCCTCTTGAGATTGTCCCTACAACAGAGAACATCAACACAGTAAATGGTTTCTTTGCATTCAGCACTTAAAGTACCCATCTGATTTCTTCTTAGAGAAGGAGAATCAGATTTCTGAATATGACATAAGAATTTCTGAAATGCCAGGCTTCCAGTGAATCTGAATTTAAAAAAAAAAAAAAAAAAAAGCTTTCTGGTTGTTTCTGAAAAACTAAAAGTCTGCATTTCAAATATATGTGGCACATTTTATTAATGCTGTGGCCACATACTGTATTTTAACCAGTTTCCAAAAATCAGCATCCTAATTTTAAATATTAAAGTAAATATTAATGAAATAAAATAACCCGCTGATGAGTAAGTTATGTGAGATTTGACTGTTCTCTGCCATGTTTCCAGCAGTGTAAATCCCACCCCCAAAAATCCAAGAAAAATAGTAATTAAAAAAAAAAAGCCAGAAGAAATTAGCCAAGAAAGTAACATCAATCCAACATCCTAGACTATGTGATTCAGCCCTTAGAAACCTTACCTGAGTCCAGGGCTCTACAGACAAGACTATGAATTATGAATCTCTAGAGGAGAATAAAATATTTCTGCTGCATTGTGTATTCAGCACTTTCATCCTCATCAACACAGAGCCTTACTGGGCTGGTAACTGCAGGCTAGGCCACAGGAAGAAAGAGTAATTTACTAATTGGATTTTTATCTGAGAATAGTGCTTTAGATGTTGTATTTTGTAGAGAGAAATAGCCAAGACAAACAGGTGAACCAGAGAGTATTTCAAAGTGTGTCACTAGACGGCTACAAACCAAGCACAATTTTGACAAAAAAAAAAGATGTTTTTCTTGTTCTACTATCCCTTTTCCCCAAAAAAGTCTCTTTTTTATCACAGGTTCTTATGCTGTGTCATATGACTTGTGGTTGCTCTGTGGGTTCTTGAGATTCCTAAATAGAAAGGCTCAGATTAAAGTACCAAAATGCATAGCATATGAAGGTTGTAGGACCAGATCTATGTCTTGGGACCTGCTGATCACTGTAATGAGCACTGGAACTGAATTGCATGGCTCCGCTTACCTTGTTGGTGACAGGACTATTTTCAGTGTGTGTGTGGGCCCTACAAAACAGAAACCTCTGTAAGACAACCCAGAGGGAAGCTCTGAGCTTCTGCAAGGGTGCTGTAACATACTGCACTCCATAACACTGAACAACACCGAGGAACATTAGTTCCAGTGCTGATAGATTGGTAAAAGCAAAGTGCCACAGCTGCAACTGATTCATGCAGGACTTGCAGGTACTCAAACATACAGCAACAAGCTCAAATGATTGCTGGTCATACGGAATAGTTCAAAACATGGCAAAGCTGCACAAAGCAAGTATGTATGGGTGTATATGCATACAACATGTATGTGTATATATATGCTTCATTCATGTAAATATTAAACATCCTATTTGATCCATTACAAAGGGATGAATTAAAATGTATATTGGTTATAAAGGAATTAATGGTTAGTAAAATTCAGATTCCAGTTGCTAGACAGTTAGGTAGCACAATTTTACTGTTTAGGCAATGGCAAGTCTTTGTTTTT